GATGTTCTCCTCAGAAGGCAAGTCCTCGAGGGGGTAGTCCTCCATGACGAAGACCTTGGTCTTAAGACCACGAGCCTTGCCGCGGTTACCGAGACGCTTGGCAACGTTGGTAGCGTTACCGTTGTCAGAGGCGTACAGCACGGTCAAGGGAGCGCCAAAGAGACCCTCAAGAAGCTGGTCGTAGGCATCCTTGGCCTTGCGCTTCTGCTGAGCCCGGACCTCGGAGCCAAAGTCCTGCGACAGGTTGGCGGCGAAGACGGGGTCGCGCTGCATGATCTGGGTGAGCTGGTTGTCGCGGTCCAAGAAGGCCTTGAGCTCGCTCTTGATACGCTCAGAGTCGAGGGTGAAGTTGGGCTCGCCCTTGGCCTCGTTGGCGGGGTTCCAGCGGTACAGAGGCCAGTAGCCGACGTCAATCGCCTTCTTGGTCTCTTGGAGAACGGTGAGAGGAGAATCGGTCTCGCCAAAGTAGGGCAGGTAGGCCAAGACGACGGAGGGACCGTTGTGCTGGTCGGCCTCGAGCATGGCCTGAAGCACCTGGGTGTAGGAGCCGTAGACGGCAGTAGAGGCGACGTAAGCGTTGCCAAAGTTCATGGCGTACAGGCCAATGTCCTTCTTGCGACGGTTGGCATCGGCAGCGGCACGCTCCGAGTAGGGGGTCGAGTCGATAATGAGCATGTTGACGTTCTCGCCAGAGGCCAGGACGTGGTGCACACCAGAGTTGCCGAGATCGTAGGCCCAGGCATCGGATCCCACAAGCCACAGGGACTCCTTGCGGAACAGTCGCTTGCTGGACAATAGGTTGCGGGCAATGGAGGAGCCATCAGTCTCAAGGCGGGGGATCAAGTCGTCGGCGATCTCGTTGGCCTTCTTGGAGTCGGCCTCGTTGGCTGCCCAGCGGGCGAGCCAGCTCTTAGGAGAATCCGTCACGAACTGGTTGCTGTTGGCAGCCTCCTTGACCTCGTTGACGAAGCGCACGCGACGCTCCTTGCGAGCCAAGAGGGAACCGAAGCCGAACTCAGGGCTGGCCTGGATGGAGGAGTTGATGCCGGCATTGCTAGCCTTGAGGGCGTTGGCAATGTAGGCTCTCTGGCCAAAGAGCTGGTCGAGAATCTTGGTGTACGAGTTCTCGACCTGGGGCTTCTCAAGACCGTATTCGAGAACCTCTTGGGGAACCTCCTTGCGGCCGATCTCAAGATTCTGAACAGGGGACTCGGAAGTCAGGTTCTGCAGGACGCCACGAAGAGCCTGGATGACAGTCTTGGGGTCAATGTAGCCAAGCTGGTAGCCGACAACGGTCTGCACACCACCAGGGCCGCTCTTCACACTGGTGAGAACATCGATGAGGACGGGGCCCCACTTTGTGGTCTTGCGGTGGACCTGCTCAAGGACGGCAATGCGCTTCACAGACTTGGGCAAAGCCTCGATGAGAGAGGAGCTGAGCCAGGGGCGGTACAGTCTGGGGGTGAGGATGCCGACCTTGGAGAAGTCACCTCCACGGCGGGCCTGGTCAATCACATCACCAAAGTAGTAGGCTCCAGAGCCAAAGACGAAGAGGCAGTTCTCTGCATTCGTGGGTCCGGCATAGAAGAAGGCCTGGTATTCACGGCCGGTGATCCTCTTGATCTGAGCCCAGATGCCGTTGGCATACTTGAGGATATCCTCAGATGAGACGACGGGGAGGGACGACTCGATCGTGGTGGCGTTGGAGGAGACGACAGAGGGTGGGCTGTCGGTGACGCTGTGCTCGGCGCTGGACTGGACCGAGGCCCTGGATGACTCGAGCTTGGAGTGCACGGACGATGCGAGTTCGGAAGAGCTCAGACCACTAATGGCGGAGGAGCCGGTCGGCGGCACGTCGGATCGGTCAGAGGCCACCGGCAGTCGGCCGTCATCGGCATAGATACCGACAGCCGACGCGGCAGAGCCGTTGGACGGCTGCTGGAAGCGCCTCGCAGCGTCAACGTCGAGGATCTGGCGCACAACTTCAGGGTCCTCTGCCTCAATGGCAGCATCGTCGTCGCTGCTCGACGAGGCGAAGAAGTGCACAACACCCTTGCCGGAGCGGAGGGCGAGGGCATGTGCCGTCAGTGCCATGTCCTGAGCCTCCTGGAGAGACTCTGACTGCAGGAAAGTCCATCCCGAGTTGCGGATAGCTGTGATGGCGGAGAAGTCGGGGAAGCCAGCGGGCTGAAGGGCGACGTGAAGGACGACAGGGTAGTTTGCCAATTTGTAGAGGTGGGAGATGGCGGGAAGGAGAACGGTAGAAGAGGTCGTTACGGCGACGAGCTTGCCGGCGCGAGTAGGCGCAAAGACGGAGAGGAGGGGGTCGGCATTGTGCCTTACGTGTTGGACCTGGGACAGTCACAGTCAGTTTCCAAGCCAAAAGATTGCGGAGAAGACGAATCGAGTAGTTGCTCACCTCTGTGACTGAAGACTTCGCGACGAGGCTCTTGTCGTTGCGAGCGACGTAGCGCTTAAGGTGGGATGAGAACTCCGAGTCCTTGGCCAGCGAAGGCTGGACGGAGACGACGACGTCGCTGGAGAGGTATGCGATTCTCGCAACTGTAGAGATGGCGTGTTAGCACAAGCCAGTATTGTCATTGTTCTCGTTGCAAACTGCGACTGAGACTGTTCCGCGTCTCTGGTCGACGTCGTCCATCATCCCTCTGCCTCTTTCTCTCTGGGTGCTGCTCGTTGCCCATCACAAGTGGGTTGCCGGGGGACTCTGCACCGCTGGGATGCGACAAATAGCAGAGCTCTGATTGGCCCAATTCCAACAATGTCGGAGCTTCGCTGTAGTTACAGCGGGCACACGCGCTGAAGGATGACGGACGCTGCAGAGTGCAAGACCAGGGGTGACAGCAGCAACAGCAGCAGCAGTAACAGCAGACGAAAGCCGTGGAATCCCAAGAATTGAAGAGAGCAACAACTGCTTACCAGCTTCTCCAGGCGTCTGGATTTGACCTCTTGTCGGCGCCATTGTCAATATGTGTGTATGTGCGTGTTTGGAGGAGGTTTCGAGGGCGGATTTCGAAGACGGGGGTATCGTATAGTGGCCGGTCTCGAAACTCTTTTCGCTGCCGTTTGCAGTGTACAGTTCCGGATTCCTCTCGAGCTGTCTGTTTGGCTTCCTCTGGATCAGGAACCAAGAATGGACAGAACACCAACAATAAGTCGACTACAGCAGTAATGACTAACACAGATCAACCCGTAGAAAGGATTGTCGGAGAAGGGCGCCGTAGGATGCAATGGCAGATGGGAGGCGGAAGGAGGAAGAGGGTGAGAATGAGTGAGAGAGTGTGAGAGAGGAGGAAGATGGTGGTGTAAGTCAAGGTAATAAGAGGTCTAAAAGGGAAGATCGATGGATAACAAGCTGATAAAAAAAAAGTCCAAGGTGCCCCAGGAAGTTGCGAAACAGCTCCGATGGTTCTTTCTGCTTTTGGAATCAACAGAAAGTGACCTGGCAAGTACCCAATTCCTGTTCCTTCCCTTGCTTGGTTTCGTCGTCTTTCAGTCAGGCAAGAGCAGCTGGATGGCGGGTTGCGCCTGCTGTTGCTGGCGTGCTTGGGGGGGCGTTGTGAGCCTGTGCCCACTGAGAAATTTCGCCCCGCAGAAAACAATGAATTTTGTCGACATCAGGGTCGATTGCGTGATCGGCTAGCGCAGCGTCTCCCCAGTCCATTCGCCAGTTGCCATGCCGCACTGCTCCCATTGCGCCGCGGGTTGGCTTGCCTTGGGGCAATGCCGCTGCACTTGGTGTGTGTACATTGCTCAGAAAAGGTACATCGGGATTCTTCCAGGTGGTAAAGTAGTCAAGTACCTGGAGCTGGAGGGAAAGAGCCGGGACTTCAGCGAGTGCCGTTGCCTCTTCTGTGCTCCTGTCCTGGATGCTGTATTATTCATCACGAGAGTCGTTGACGGCTCCGACTATGATAGTATTGCCTTATGTAAACTTGGGAAGAAGGATACTAATGTAGACTCTGTCCTAGACTCTTAGCTCATCTGCCTTACCCAATCAGCCACTCAACAACACTCTAACAAATTCCATCTCAAATGGCTGGAATCAGTGGATGGCACTTCTTGGCTAATACAGCATGAACAGGGGCAGCGAATCTGGACCCCATGCCCGAATGCCGAAAAAGGCCGTTGTCGGCCGGTAAGCCTTTCCTCTCACTCTCACTCTCACTCTCTCCCAAGGCTCAGTAAGACTCAACCAGAGGTAGAGGCAGGCAAATGCTCGGACTCGTAGCCGTGCCTCATCCCATCCATCTGGAGGCGAGTCAACTAGTGGAAACTACTCCGTACGTAGTAGACTGACATGCTGCTCCATATCCCGTTCAACTGCCCCACCATCTCCATCCCCCTCCCCCGGAGATTCTTTCGGATTACAAATGGTAGACTCTGTATTTGCAGTTTCCGCCTGTCACTCTCACACAGTTCGCTCAATGCCCGATACCCACCAATCAACCCAATGATCCCTTTGGATTCAAGATCTTGTATTACTCTGCTACTAAGTATGCTTATTATATGTATGGCTTGTATCGTATGCTCTCCCCAAATTCGGGGTTTGGAACCATAGAACGTTCGTTCTCGGTCCCGCTTTAAATCCCCCATCGTGAACCGGGCACCAACCGAATGGATGCCCTCGTGACGAAACATCTCTCCCAATGACCCAAACGCCGATTCACCTTCCGTGATTGAGGGTCATCAAATGTTGTTGTACACTATTCCCCATCGCACCCCCGACATGCATTTCGCTCATGAGTCTCCCGATCCACTTCTGGCGCGCAGAAAATCTCAAATGATGCCATCGCCCAATGATACCACCGCCCGATGGCATCATCGACTTGCCGTCCCGGCGGTATCCACTCCAAGCGGTCAACCTGCCGCTGCCGCCCGACATGCCGCACCGACATCCATCTCTTGCCGCTTCAATAGTCAATACCTACCGGTACCGTCGGTAGCTCTCTGAATCCGCCCTTCCGCGATACTTAAAAGACTTAGACTCCGGTGTGCCGGAACTTGGCGCTCACAGCGCTCGCCCACTCCTCCTGAGGCCTCTCGCGAAGCCAGTACCCGCGACCGAGGGCGAGCATCACGCGCCCGATACGGCCGCGGGACCCCTCGCCGCCCGGCTCGCCCTGCGAGAAAGGTCCGTCGACGCCGCCCTTCTTGCCGGCGCCGCTGCTGCGGCCTTCCTCCTCCCAGCCCATGTCCGCCGCGCTGTACCGCTGCAGCACCTGCTGCGCAAACGACATGACGACGAGCGCAAAGTAGACGCGCACCAGCGTGACGGAGCAAATCAGCCCCAAGCTCATCCACGACTCCTGGGGCCCGATGTGCTTCGTCGTGCCGGGCACGTCGGGAACCACGGGCGCCCCGTTGGCCAGCGCCGTCTCCGCAATCTCCGCTGCTGCTGCGGGACCGGCTGCGGCCGGGGTGGTGCTGCCTGCCGGGTGCTTGTCCAGGGCGCTGCTGTTGAGGTACCAGTTCACGGCGAAGAAGGTCGTGTAGGCGACGTTGAGGACGGTGTCGACGATGTAGAGCCAGGCGAGGCTGAGCGTCTCAAAGGGGCTCTGCTTGCGGATGTGGGGCATGAACATGGCCAGCAGGACGACGACGCCCAGCGAGTAGAGGTACATTGACAGCTGCGTCACGGAGAGCTCGTAGCCCGTGAGGATGGCGAGTAGACCGTAGAGGCCGGTGAGCCTGTTGAAGAGGAGGATGAGGGAGATGACCTCGGTGCCTGTTTGAAGGCCGATGCATCCTAGAAAGGTCTGTCGCACACATTAAACGTGATCACCATGTTAGCCAACCGCCCAGTAATTCATCGGTTAAAGATGATGAACATGATGTTGTGTAACTATTGGGTGTAGTTGGTTGGGGAAGATGAGGTTGTGTTACATGCTAACCTTTGGGAGCGGTAACCGCATGCTGAATCTTGAGAACGCCATCCTGTCCGTCGGTCTATCTGTTCGTCCACTGTATCTTGGTGATGTCTCGTTGGTGTTTATATGTACGGATACAGCAGGAGGGTATCCGTAGGTATCGCGCCAGAAAAGAAAGGGGTCCTGAGAGCTCAGGTAATCCGTGAAGACGTCAGAAGAACCTGAGGGTGGTAAGCTTTTGGGGAAGCGTCGCAAAAGATGAGCCTAACAAGAGGCCCCGTCACTTTTAACCAAAGCGGCAGCGCCGGATGACAATTGACATGGGCCAGCCACCAAACAAAATAAAGAGCGGAAAGACCCTGCGTTCGCACCTTTCTAAAATTCTCGATGACATGATGGGCCCCACCCGATCCGTCATAGCGTCACGCCCCGGGGTTTTCATTGAGTCCGCGCCGCTGCTCTCCGTCACCCGCGTCTGCACCTGATGCTGCACCTCGCTCTCTGGGTCAATCTACAGCAACACCGGCTGTGAATGCACAGCTAGCTATCTACATATACGCGGTAAGGTAGGTATCCGAATCCGAAAAGTGGATGGACCTGGGAATTCGATGCCACGGATTTGCGGGCCATTCCTACGCTGGCACCACATGTTCAACGGACCCCGGCACTCGGTGACAGCCCACCGTAGCATCACGGACGCCAGCCATCGTGAGAGTCCCGTGCCATTTCGGGCGGTGAGCATCTTGGACAACTCATTCGCCAGCTGACTTTTGACACTTAATACTGCCAACGTGACGCTCACATATGAATAAGTACACTTGCATTCCATGTAGACAGACAATATTGGGGAAAGAAGAGAAAAAAGAGCCATTAAATGTAGGTATGTACTAACGACCGTGGAGTATAGCCCGTTATTATACAAACTGTAACTGATGCTGAAAATCCCCATTTGCACGCTATGCTTAAGATGTCCTGCCCCGCCAGTCATGTCGCAACGTAACGTAACGGCAACTCCAACTCAGCCCCGCGTCGTCCGTCACGGCTCGCCTCGGGAACTTTCTACTCCAGAGTCGTTGTCTTTTTGTTTTGCTTTGTCTCCTTAAGAAAATCGTCTAGCACGCGCATCCCTCTTGCGATGATTGGGCGGGGGTCGTCTTGACATCGATCACTGCGTTAAAGTTAGCATAAACCACCCTGCTTTTTATAAACCAAATCTCAAAGAGAAGGGAATACGCACTCTGGCTTGAAGCTTGCGCGGCAGCATCCGTTCCCTCCATGCCTGGAAGAGCCTGGGCTATTCTCTTGAACAGCGTTTTGACGTTGTGTCCCAGCTTCGCGCTAGTCTCGACGAACATGAGGTTGTTCTTCTTGGCCTCCTCCTCGCCCTGCTGCGTCGTCACTTCGCGCTTGTCGTTCAAATCCGTCTTGTTGCCCACGAGGACAATGATGACGTCGTTTCCTCTCTCGGCGCGCACATCGTCGATCCACTTCTTGGTGTTTTGGAAGGATTTCGCATCTTCGAATTGCCATCTAGTCAGTCACGAGTTCCCTCTTCTGTGCCTCCCCCATGCAGTTCCACGTACTTGAAATGTCGTAGACAACGACTGCGACGCTGGAATCGCGAATGTACGAGGGAATCAGACTGCGGAAACGTTCCTGTCCGGCGGTATCCCAAAGTTGTAATCTCACTGTCCGGTCCTCAAGGTACATGGTCTGCAATGTATTAGACAGTGGTTCCTCGTCCCTCGCCCGGAAATGTATCAATGGCTTGCCTTGGAAAGAAAGTCGATTCCGATGGTCGCCTGGTACATGTTGTCGAACGAATCGTACATGAATCGAGTGATGAGTGAAGTTTTCCCCACTGCAAATAACACAAAGAACTTATCAGCCAAGGGTCTCTCTCACCACATCGAACAAGACAGAATGCAGGATACATACCGCTCTGCTCGCCTAAAAAGACAAGCCTGGGGATGTCATTGTGTTAGTTTTATTGTGCAATTGTCTGAATAGGAACATTTCGCAATCGGCGCAAATCGTACTTGAACTTCTTGAGGGGGTTGTTGTAGGACCCGCCTGCGCCGGACGCCATGGTTGCGGTTTTTTGGTCAAAGGGAAGCTTCCGAAGGGTGGTATCGGGGGTTTCGCCAGTCGGGCTACAGAACCAACACGTTGGCTCGATGCAAGGGAGTCGTCGAGTCGGCAAATAAAACCAAGCTGAGAAGCCGAGTGCTTTGCTAGATCAAAGGACCAGATCCGACGAGAGGGCGAAGTTGGGCTGGCTGGGAGGAGGAGGGGTGTGAGGGTTATAGATCGCGGGTCGTGGAAATTGAGCAAGCTGGACAAGTAAAAGGAGGTCAACCTGTCCGCCTTTAGGCGCATTACCACGCCCCCGTCATCCATTGAGGTGGGCTCAGAGGAGGCCAGCAAAGACGGGGGGACATCACGTGCTGATAATCGATAAGAAACCCCATATCCGATAAGACAAAAAAAAAGACCCTTGCTCGAAAATTTCTGGACGGTCCAGGCCCCGCCGTCCCAGCTGGTGCAGAGTGCAGATTCGACGACCAGCAAATGGGCAAGGCGCAAAGATCGACTTTTCGACATCAAGACACCCCCGGTGATTCTCTCCATCTTCTTTGCACCTATTTACCCAAATAACCCCTCCAAGCCCGAAGTGTGATTCGGCTACCTATACAACATGCCCGTTCTAAAGCCCCTCTTGGGCGACGGCGAAGCTCCCCAGCAACGCAAGCAGCCCTCAAGAAAGGGAAAGAAGGCGTGGAGGAAGAACGTCGACGTCTCCGAGGTGCAAGAAGGTCTCGATGAGTTGAACACACAGATTATCGCCGGGTACGTAACCCTCTTTGCCTTAGAAACCTTTTTCCTTTCTCGGAAATGCCCCAATTGGCACACAAAGTAGACAACTAACCAAATATCTTATAGTGGCGTCGTCGCAGAAAAGGATTCGGCAGACCTCTTCACCCTCGACACGGTCGGCAAAGTCGAAAAGCGCCCCAAGCCAAAGAAGACGCTCAAGTCCGACGAGATCCTCGCCGCCCGCTCCTCCGTCCCCGCCGTCTCCTCCCGCAAGCAGAAGCGCGACGCCGAAACCGCCCTCTCAAAGACCTCGGACGGCCTCCTCCCCGTCAAGCGCCTGCGCACCGACTGGGTCTCCCACAAGGAACTGAGCCGCCTTCGTCGCGTCGCCGACGGACACCAGGAGGAATCTACCGCCCTCGTACCCCAGGAAGCGACCTACGACCTCTGGGGTGCCGCGCCCTCTACCTCCTCAAAGGCCGTAGCAGCAGCAGCAAACAAGACCAGCAAAGACAACTTCCTCCCCGCCGAACAAAAAGCCAAGCCCCCCAAGACCCTGAAACACGCCCCCATCTCCCTCACAGCCAGCGGTCGCCAGCTCCCCGCCGTCGTCAAGCCCACGGGCGGATACTCCTACAACCCGACCTTTGACGACTACGCCGACCGCCTCGAAGAAGAGGGCGCCCGCGCCGTCGCCGCCGAAGAAGCCCGCCTCGCCGCCGAGGAAGCCGACCGCATCAAACGCGAGGCCGTCGCCAAGTCCGCCGCCGAGGCCGACGCCGCGGAAGCGCGCGCGCAGCTGTCCGAGTGGGACGAGGATTCCGCGTGGGAAGGGTTCGAGAGCGGCGTCGAGGGCGACGACAAGCCCACGACCAAGAGACCCCAGCGCAAGACGCCGCAGCAGAGGAACCGGATCAAGCGTCGCAAGGAGGCGGAGCGCGAGGCCAAGCACCAGCTCGCGCTGAAGAAGAAGGCGGCGCAGGCGGAGCGCATCAAGGAGATTGCGGCCGAGATTGCGGGCCGCGACGCCTCCAAGAGCGCGTTGGCGCTGGCCAAGGAGGTGGGAGAGGGGAGCGACGCCGACGATGACGAGGAGGATATCGTGGACGAGGGACGGCTGCGGAGGAGACAGCTCGGCAAGATGAAGTTGCCCGAAAAGGATCTGGAGCTGGTTCTGCCTGACGAGCTGCAGGATTCGCTGCGGTTGTTGAGGCCCGAGGGTAACCTGCTCAAGGACCGGTACCGTAGTCTGCTTGTCCGTGGAAAGGTGGAGTCAAGGAGACATATCCCGTTCAAGAAGCAGGCGAGGGCGAAGCTTACGGAGAAGTGGTCTTACAAGGATTTCAGGATCTAGGAAAATGGGGTTTACTGTTAGAGGGTATCAGAATAATCATCAAAAGCGTGCATATTTTGACTTTCACTTCGTCTTGGAGCTTAGATCACGGCAGTGTCTTCGCAGTACCTTGTGATTGCCTCGGTCTAGACAAGGAGTTTACTCCCTAGATCTCAAATCTATTGTCATAATGAAACCTTCTCGGATAGCCGCTCAAAAACTGGTGATAGCCCTCTCAATAGTTTCGAGTCATCAGCCTCAAGAAGCAGCAATAACGAGATGCAAAGTGCCAGTGACGGGTCCTCGTTCTTTTCGCCGACGATCGGCTTGTCCTTCTCTCCCATAGCACGGAGACCAACTTGGAGCACCAGATGAGCCATGGTCCACTCGCAAGGGAACACTACGACATCTCCTTCACCCGATGGTGCTCCCTCGCAGGTGAGATTTGCAAAAAGCTGCTGGTGACGAACGAGTTGTAGCCCTGCCTTGGAGACGCTGCCGCAAATGGTGGATGGATCTCCGCCTGGTGTTGGCCAGAGGGTTGTGACGAGGGACATGCCGTGGTGATAGTGCAAAGAGCCCCATGAGAGTAGGGTTTCTTGGAGGGCGTGACTCCACGGTATTGATGATGGAATTAAACATGAAGAAGAAATTGAGGTTGTGATCTCTTTCCATCTCGCGAACCATGAGTCAAGACTTTGGCGGTAGGTTTCGCAAATATCTCGAAGGGGTTGAGTCTCGTGGATGACTGAAGTATTGCGCTCGCGGTCAAGGATTGTGCTGTGGATCTGCATCTTGAGGAGGGATACTTGGTATGAAGAGATTGAGATCTCATCTTGGAGGTTGTTGCCGCTCTTTTCTACGAGCTCCTGTGACATAGGTAGTGTCAGATACAGCTGGAATGAGGTGTATGTTGGAGACGTACGCGACGGAGATCGTCTCCGATGACAAGTAGACTTGGTCGACCAAACGCAATCGAAACATGGCTTCATGGGACAATTAGCCTCTTCCATCGTGAATCTTAGTACTCGGGTGGGTGAACATACCTCTCAAGAGTGTACAAAGTCCTAGTAAGCATGCGAAACACTTCATGGTCTTCGTCTTCCTCCATCGACGGCCGATGCGACAAGTCGAGAAACAGACGGATGGCGAAACCTAGGTGTCGCCAGACATCTCCTGCGCTGGGTTGGAGGAGGGTGTATACGCAAATGAGGAGGGTTCGTTGAAGCAGACTGACGTTTTCGGTGCGGGAGGCGTGGGCGCAGGTGATTGGGAGAGAGCTGATAGCGTTTTGGAAGTGATGCTCTGCCAGGGCGGAAAGTGAGGGTGTGAACTTGCTACTGATTTGGGCGCCGAGAGCGATTATGAGGTTGAAGAGAGGGGTGTTGTGTGGACGTGGAGGAACAGCGTTTGGGTGGTAATATGTGGTCAGGATGTTGTTGAGGGTTTGGGGTTGGAAGATTGGGAAGAAGGTGTTTGTTGAGCGGCTGAAGAGGTTGAAGATGGGAGCAGCTAGACTTTCTGGCAAAGGTTGGAAGGAGATGAGGCTCTGAAACGAGAGAGTCGGGATCGTGTTTCTCATGGCAGTGCGTTTTGTCGATAATAGTTTGTAGCTTGCTTTATGTTGAAGTTGATCTCGCAGACAACCGAGAGAGGACCAGGGGCCATAGAATACAGTGCTAGGTAGAGAGATGGATAATACGGTTTCGGAAAGAGGAGATGCGCCTCGTTGGAGAGGCAGGAATAAGGGATTTCCGGTAGCTGGTGGTTGATGTGTGTTGCTTGACGAACGTGAAGGTGATGGTATCTGCTTTGAAAGATCCTTCAGCTCCCCGATAAGAAGTTGCACACGTCGGAGTGGGATGTTTGCCATCAGAATCGGGTCAAAGATGAAGCACTCTCGCGAGGTCCTCGCGCATTCCTTACAAGCAGGGAGTTGACGCTGACACTTTGTCCGTCTATCCCTACAAAAGCTGCAAGAGGGAATCGCGTCAAGGACGACGTCTAGCTCCTTTTCCAAGTCGCTGGCGTTGCTATCCCTAGTATCTCGCCCACGCTCAGCCCTAGTCTCGTTAGGTTCTGAAGAAGGCGAGGAAACCGTCTGTCCGCCGCCAGAAGGAAGCGAGAAGCAACTTTCGTTCGTGACAAAGTCTTGATCTATGAAGTCTGTCCACCACTGCATGTCATTCAAAAAGTCTCTGCCGGCGGTTTCTGGTTCCGATGGAGGAGGCGTTGGTCTCTTTGGAGGCGGGAAGGAAATGTTTCGGTGGCGAATGCTATGGATTCGTCGCTGAGTGACTAGACAGTCGAGTTCTTCGAGGACTTGCATGTCGTAGTGGCTTCCGTTGTGGCCGAGCGGATTGCGGAGGTTCGTTTCAATGAGTTCGTTGATGTAGCTTGCTGTGTCGGATAGAGGTGGCCATCTGCTTGAGAGGTTGGTCTATGATTCGAGTTAATGACTGCTTTGGTATGAATCCTCTTTTCGGTCTTTCTGGTATTGAGCTAGACTTACGAGAAGCACTGAGAGATTCTTCAATGAGGCGGTGGCAATGTCTGCGAGTGACGCACGCTGTAACTTTGTAGCATGGTTTCGAAGAGCGTAGAGCAAGAGCATGCCAGGTTGGAACATCCTGTTGCCGATTTCGAATACCATGACAAGACCGCCAGACTCGGCCGCCTTCGCATCCAGTGCTATCAGCTCGATAGCCGCGTTCACCACGGATACCAGAGATGTTTCGGAAACGGCGATGTTGTGGGAGCAAGGACGGTGTAGCATGATTTGGCATTGGAGACAACTAGCCACCAGCGATGAGTGCGGATTTCCGTGCGCAGAGACATCGTGAGAGAGATTTCGTGTCCTGACATCCATCTGCTGGACCCAGTCGTCATGGGACCCGAAATAACTAGGAACAGGGCGGTCGAAAAATTGGGTTGCCTGGATCTCGGATTTCATGATGCAGACTTGGAGGTCAAGGAGGAACTGCCGCTCTTTTGGGGTGCTGACTCGCTTTGAATCGGCCCTTTCTGCCAAGTCAGATACGTCGCCGAAGTCGTAGGGAAGCCTGGTTGTAATGTGCTCATCACTCAAGGCAACTGGACATCCTCCAGAGATGGACACGATTCTGTCGAGTTGGTAGACCTGTATGGGGTTGTGTGAGCAATAAGCTTGACCTAGACTTTTATTGATCGTGTACTTACGACCCAAAAGATGCGTCGGCGCTGCTCCGCGTGTGCTCTATCTCTAAAGATGCGTGGTTCTGGCTCTTGATGCAGTCCAAGGCTTACAGCCATGCGCATAGCCTCTCCGGTAAGATACCATAGATTGGAAGTTTGAGGTAGCAACAGCGCAAGTTGTATAAGCAATATCAGACACTGTAAAGCCGAGATGGAACATTCATGCAGCAAGTCGTCGACGTACTTCATGGCGTCCGCGTGTAGAGCCTCACTGAGAGCCGCGACTTTACGAAAGTCTTGGTTCTTTGAGTTGAGGGCACTGATTGCCATGGTCATCGAGATGACGAATCGAGAAAGGGCATCTTGAACACGGGAAAGCCCCGGTTTAGCGCTGTTGATGCATGTGTGGTTAAAGTGGTAGGCTAGCTCTGCCTCCGAGAAACAGGGGAATCGCGGGAGGATCTCTTCGGTGTAGTTTCTGAATAGCCGCTCCATCACGTTGAGAGGAACGTGTTGTGAGTTGAAGCTTGAGAACTGACTTGCGTATGCTTCGCCTGCTGTTCGGGGGTTGACTTCATGGTAGATTCCGCGAATTGGGATTTTAAGTGGTGGACGCTCAGAGGGATAGAAGAGTTTCGACTTATGTGGTAATATAGCTGAGCCTTGGAAGAGACTGAGAGAAAGGTTATTCGTGATTGAGATGGAGGCTACCTGAGCGGCGACATCGTGAGCGACGTCAGCTTCACGGACTTCATTGACGGAGCCATGGTCATCTGCATCTACTGAGGCGGACTTCAGTCGTTGCAACTCGGCTAAGCGATGTTCGAGGTGCTGAAGAAGACTATCAACAGAGTTTATCAGTTTCCACTTCATTATTCACAGATTCATACGACAACATAACATGCCTGCGAGGAATTTCGGCAGACTTTTGCCGGTTGATTGCGGTGCACTCAGCTCTGGCGGCAACGCATCTTAGACATCTTGGCGTACCTCTATCGCACTAATGATACTATCAGTCAAGGGGAAATTACCCAAGAAGACTTTACTGAATTCATACCTTTTGCTTGAGTCGATGACATCTGGCGCAGGCTGGCGTGGATCTGTGCCTTTTGCTTCTCAGGTCGGAACCCATCTTCAGCCAGCCGCCACTGATCAAAGGATTTGACGATTGTCTACGACACTAACTTACAACAAGACCGAATAAGCATAATACAGTACCTTGGTCGCTGTAAGTCCCAGGATCTGCTCCATACACATGAGTTCAGTAACAGCTCTGTGTATGTTCATGTCAAAAACGCCTGGGGATGAGGGGGTTAGTTGGTTCGCACATGATTGGCCGCTTCTCAACCCCACCAAGACTAGTAGATAAATCCGTCTCGGTCTCTCAGATGAACCTGGGGTCACTTTCATACTGAATGCCATTGACATTTGGTGCATGTCGTTTTATTTGGCTTAAATCTTTCCATGTGTCGTGAGGATTTCGTTTGTGCTGGTGAACTGATTCTCTCAATTTGATACGACTTCATCTGGGGTATGTTTTCGACACTTAAGTGGTAGAGCGCGTCCGCGGAAGGACGGAACATCAACTATATAGACAAATAATTAATCCTGTCCAGAGACCCGGAGCATCCAAATTGTCTGCTGTGGAGGCCCTCTAGACCCATAGCTTGGTATCCAAAGACTTATCGTTCACATTCGCTGTGTAAGGTATGATGACGACACGTGAGTCTGCGACCACCTCAGGTATAAGTACTCCACTGCCGGTCCACATTAAGACGTCGATACCCATCGTTCTATCATCTGTATGATCCTGAGATCTACTTTCTACGCTCAAACCTGGTCTAAACTTGCCTTAAGTCATTGACCAACGATATGCCGTCCCAAGCTGTCCAGCGCATCAGCATTCGCTGGTTGCCCGAGCCTGCCTATGAAGATACCGACACGATTGCACTCAACGTAGGAAGGTACTTCATAGACTTGCGGATTATCAAGGAAACTCAGACTCTTCAATGGAGCCGCGCGGGAGAGAGAATCGCTTTGAAGACCGAACCCCGTGCGTACTGTCATCATCTTCGCGGATGTCTTTCTGCTCAATAATCAAAGACCAATTTTTGACGCAATGACTGAGTTACAGCTACATTCCGATGGACACATATCATCGACTCCTTGAACCTGACTGTACCTGACGATGCCTATTTCGAGAAGTTACCCAATGGAGATGACCTCGAAATCGGCACCACGCCTTGTCCTCACAAGAACGGTGTTCCAACTGACTACGAAGAAGTCTGGAGAGACGTTACGAAACGTGGCCCGAATGATACGCCTTCTTGGATACTTCAGAGCAAAGACGGAATGACTTTCATTGGCAAAGTTGGGGTCATATATCTTGCCATCCGCAAGGCGTCGGCGACAGAATTTGCTGCGCGACGAGAGGATTACGATTCCCATCATGGAATTTGGAAGTGCACATTTGAATCTGAGAATGATGGCAGCATGCCGAAAGCGTCCGCGGTGGTGACTATGGTAGACAACGAAGCGCAAACGTCGGTAGATGGAGGTCTGGTTAGCATCGGCGGTGTGGAATTTGTATTTCGGGATGTCAGTCAAGACTAAAGACGTATGCATCTACGTTCGACATTGAATCCATCATCATACTTTCGTTCGAGCAAGTCAGACATTCATTAGAACGAAGAGACATTATGATCCCCGGCCGTGATAATCTTCCATAGCCAATCGCACTTACCTTAGCCTCAAACGCGAAGGCAGTCTGGTCAAATAGTTGATCAATCAGTATGATTCCGTGACAAATGATGCCAACCCCAAGTCTCTCCTGATGTCAAGATTAGCGTAGCAGGATGATCGGGAATTCGCTAGCGTCGGCTATTCGCGAAGTCCCACTTACCCACAACCATTATCTACAGTGGGATTGGGGTTGGGGGCTTTATCTCCATGGGGAACCCAAGTGATTCCCCCGCAGATAGGATCGGCGACATCCCCGTCTGTATACTGGAACCTGTGATAACGCGCTCCGCTGACGGCGGTCGAGATTGTCACCCAGCAGTGACAGTATGTCATTCAGATAGCGCTCGACCGGACATGAGCATGGAAGTGGACCTTGAACGAGTAATCCTACAGGCTCAACAGAGTCTTGTATCTTAAATGTTACCTTACTCTCCGAGGTTGCTCCCCTTCGGTAGTTATCTGATATTATCTGGCGTTTCCTAACTTCGATATAAGATGCTGTTGCTGGAGCTTCCTCGCTGGAAGATTTTGTTTCTGAATATTCCTTCCATGTAGTCGACAACGTGGTTGGCAACAGCTAGATCACGCAAAAGATTATTTATCTCGACTCAGGATTTCTGGTGCTGTGATATTCCTCCTTCTTTATTAGTCCAGTCGCAATAGTCACGCAATATCACCTACGATGCCACCGTACACAAGTACATTTTTGGAGGGCTCAACCGAGAAAATGAAGCCGGCGACGAACGGCGATGCATTCCCCGAACGAAACACCAAAACGGAGTGCATTGACATCGATGATAACCGTGAGGTCTTCCATGAGGAGGAATACAGGGCCTTAGGTTGGTAGGTCATGTTATGATCAAAGTCGGAATTTCACTTTCGAAGGCATAGATCACTGACACTATGCATCATCTCAGGAAACGCACTGGCATCATTTTGATGAAGCTATGCTTTGCCACTGGTGTATTGACAATTCCATCTGCCTTCAGCTCAGTTGGGTACGGCCCGGGAATTGCCCTGCTCGTGGGTTGGGGAACACTGGCAACTTGTATGCCTTCATTTCAACATTGTCCCCAACTCTCGTCTCTTGCATCATCTTACTAATCGTACGTGCCGGAAGACTATGCGTACATCATGTACGTCTTTAGGATGAGATACGCTGGAGTTCACAGCATTGCTGATGCTGCAGCGCTGATGGGCGGACCTATTGCCCGAGAAATTGCTGGTGGTCTCTTCCTGCTGACTTGGATGTAAGACACGAGGAATTCTGATGAGCAACCGATTGTTTCTCTATAATACTGACACTCAAAAAGCCTCGCATCCGGTTCTGGCTTCATTGGTTTGGCGGAAGGGTTCAAGACACTTTCGAACCGCCACGTCTGCAACATTGCGTGGACCCTCGTCGCGGCCACATGCACCGCAATCGTGTCTAGCATTCCCACTTTGGGGAGATTGTCAATCCTAGCTTGGATAGGATTTGCTTCCATTTTTACGGCTGTCTTCATTGTCGTGTGAGTTTACCAACTCTTCTCAATATTCACCAACTTGGGGCATTATAGAATCGCTGACAAAATTCCGCATAAAAGGGTTGGTGTGACCCAAGTCGATCGGCCTGCGGCAGCGCCACAAACCGGACCATACGACATGGAAGTACACGCCGTAGGGGTCCCTGGGTTCGTCCCAGGAGTTGTCGCTGCCGTCAACCTGTTTAGTAAGTTGTGCTCCACTGATGCATTGAGCTGACATCTGGAATGAGAGACTAATAGCTGTGAAGCTGGTTATGGATCTACACCAACCTTCATGCCCGTGATTGCGGAGATGAGAAGCCCACGATCTTTCACCAAATCTCTGTTCTCGTCTCAAGTGTTTCTAGCCTCATGTTATGTAGCATTTGGTACGGTCGTCTACATGTTAGTGAATCAGATAGCTCGGGGATACAGTGTTGCGAATCAATGAAGAACTTGACTGACGTATCAATCGTACAGGTATTGTGGAAAGTACGTTGCGAGTCCGTCTCTGGGCTCCGCTGGCGGGACATTAGAAAAGATAGCGTATGGTGTTTCGATTCCTGGATTCATTATGACAACGACTCTTTGGGTTCATCTAGCAGCCAAATCCGTAGGAGAATAATTTCATCCGATCAGCGAGTGTAACTACTGACAAGTCTTATACTAGCTTCTTGTACGCATTCTTCGCAACTCTGTACATCTACAAAGCAAGACCGTCATTCATTGGGTGACTTGGCTGTAAGTTCCGATCGCTTTTGCAGGACAGACGTTCGTCACACTGACATCAGCAATCTGCAGTGGCTCAACGATGGGTATCAGCGCGTTGGCTTTTATCATCGCTGAAGCGGTCCCGTTCTTTAGCTATCTAGTCGGGCTCATTGGTTCTATTTGCTGCATGCCTACTTGTGTAAGTGCAAGCCAATCTACCAGACTTTAGGGCGAGTCTCGATGTGACTGTTCACTGACGAATCGTGCCACATGACAGCTGATCATCCCAGCATTCATGGGCCTCTACATGGACTGGGAGAAAAGATCTTCTAGTAAAGTCAAGTTATCTCTCTGTGCCCTGCACATCTTTACGATAGTCCTGGGATCATTCATGACCGTTGTGGGCACTTATACAACAATCCAAAGCATCATCGATGCGTACAAGGATGGAAGGGTAGGATCAGCTTTTACTTGCTAAAATGATGGGCGAGGGCGACGACGACGAGAATTAGATATGGTGGCCGTCAATTGCCCTACAATAAGATTGGGATGGCTTGACAACCAGTCTGAAAGGATTCTGCCCAAGACTATCAGTCTCAACAACATTTGACGGAGACCCAATTGAAGTGCATCAGGTGAGGACATCCCGCAATAGATCCAGCCTCAAACATAATTCGACATCAATAAATGGGGATTTGTCTAGAGAGACATCCACTCATAAGAAGTGAAGGACTTGGAAATAAGATTGATGTATCATGATATGAAAATTCATTCACTAAGTGTGCAATCACCCTGAACATTGTAGGAATGGTTCTCAACTTTGAATCAAGTCCCGGACTCCCCAGACCGACTTTCCCAAGACAACCGCCGCGGACTTTTTGCCCAACGGTCTGGTTGAATTTGCTGATAGGGGAT